ATCATCACATTGAGAGATGAATTAAGAACAGATAGGGCTGTACCAGTGTGCTTACAATTGTTGAGCCTACAGCAAATCTCAGGGATTTAGGGGTTGTCAGGCTGGGGTTTAACCTTTGTGCTCCCACCAAGCCCTGGCCAAAGGAGGAGATTACAGAGAGAGCACAATGCCACCAGAAAAGCTTCCAGAGCAACCTTGCTAAATGGTCTGAACAACCTGAGCATTCTGCCATTTGTGCCTCTTATGTGTACTGGTCTGTCCTTGCTGGGTTGAACAGAACAGGATCCGACACATTGTGTTACAGACTTATATTTCTAATGATTTCATTACAAGGAAAAGTGCACGCTCCTTGTCTAGCTTCCTTTTCCCCACTGCTTTCTGCAACAACCATTTCTAATTATTGAAGGTGGTCTCCCCTCCTCTCTGTCAAATGCATAGAAAACAAATGGGATGTGTTTGTGTCATTTCCCCTCTACAGTGGTACCTTGGGTTACAGACGCTTCAGGTTACAGACTCCGCTAACTCAGAAGTAGTACCTCGGGTTAAGAACTTTGTTTCAAGATGAGAACAGAAATCGTGAGGCAGCAGCATGGCGGCAGTGGGAGGCCCCATTAGCTAAAGTGGTACCTCAGGTTAAGAACAGTTTCAGGTTAAGAACAGACCTCCAGAATGAATTAAGTTCTTAACCTGAGCTACCACTGTACTTTTTTGTGAGATCACCTTTCTTATAGTGTGTACGTGTGCATAACTTTATATATTCACATCTATAATATTTTAAGATGGGGATGTGACTGTAATTGTAAAGGTAAAGGGACCCCTGACCATTAGGTCCAGTCGTGGCTGACTCTGGGGTTGCGGCGCTCATCTCGCTTTACTGGCCGAGGGAGCTGGCGTACAGCTTCCGGGTCATGTGGCCAGCATGACTAAGCCCCTTCTGGCAAACCAGAGCAGCGCACGGAAACACGGTTTACCTTCCTGCCAGAGTGGTACCTATTTAACTACTTGCACTTTGATGTGCTTTTGAACTGCTAGGTTGGCAATAATAGTTTAGCCTTAATTAGTTTACTCTTAATTAACAATGGATAAACTACCTTCACTTCAATAATGAGAAATCCAGAGAATGCTTAATGGTGGGGAATCACTCCCCCCCCCCAAAGTTCTAAATTAATTATTATGCTGGTCACACTACATTCAATGGACCTAAAAGGTCATCTATTTTTAGTCCAGTTCCTGGACACAACTTGCTTCTTACATGGAGCAGAACGAAACATAGCCATTCATATGTATAATATATGTAATGTTCTTGGAACTTTTGGGCAAGACCTTCCCAAATCTTAGGCTGTGGTTGCCGGTGAGAGAGAAGCAGCCTATTCTCAGGGTGGCCAACAAGGAACTGAGGGAAACCAAAGTGGAAAGAAGGGCACATCTCTAGGGCTGAGCCAAGCTCAAGCTTTTCCCTTCTGTGTATCATGTAATCAGTTTTGCTCCTGCAATCACTGAGCAATGAGGCCTGGTGCCATTTCAAAAGAAAGGTAGTGTTTTGTGGCTGATCCAATTCTGACTTCACCTACCAAAAGGAGAGGAGCAAATAAACTCATATATTACATAACTGAGCTGAAAATGGAGGTGCTTTTACTGAGGAAGAATCTGGAATGAAAGGAGAGGTGTGGCATGGAGAGGTCAGCCTTCGGAAGACCTCTAGCAAACTAGCCTGAAGGTTTCAATCACGATGAGGATTGCTGTTGACACTGGTTCAGCAAACTGTTGCATATTGGACCATAAGGGGAGTTGTTCAGTAGTCATCTTGTCCCAATTATGCTTTCTTAACCTGAAGGAAGTCTTCGTCTGGCAGCAATTTCCCAGGAGCATGTGTCAAAGAGGGGAGTGGTGGTGCATATCTGGCCTCCTGGCAGCAACATTGCTGTGGCTTAACAGGAGAGACAATGGGAATGTTGAGGTGGCAGGGAGGTGGGCATGGTTTGGGCATCCTGATAAACCCTATCTGGTGCTTCCCCTGAAGCACCTATGTCAACCTCCCCATCACTTCATCCCTTCATCTCTCCCAGTAAGCTGCAGTGATGGTGCCAACATCCCTCCCTGTAGTCCACACCTGTTCTTTCCTGTAAAAAGGAATTGAAGCACAGTTTGAACGTTCTTCCAGCAGCTCCTAGGGTAGCAGTCATACAGTTTCTGTGATATAACACCCTGTGACTCTTGCTTCTTCACCTTGGTTTCTCCAGGCACCGTATTTCAGAGGTGATTTCCCTTTCTTTCCCCTTCCAAAACTCTTTCACCAGTCACTCAAACTGTTAAGCATCGTCTACCAAAGCAATTTTCAGCTAACTGTAGCTTTTGGAGTGAATATGAATAGCTGAAATTGTGACTCAATGGCTGGGGTAATTGCACAAAAAATAGAGTTAATCTTTGTTTAACTCCTGCGACTTTATGTACTCGGCACACTGAAAACTGACAGAGCACCACTATTTCAAAATACGAGGATTGTTTTCCTGCGGTAATAGATCACTGGCGTAAGGTCTTAAATGGTTTTGCTAAAGCGAATGGCGTCTTCACTGGAGCATACAAAACGTCCCTGATTATTCTACGACTATTGTTTTTAAAGTGTCAGTGAAAGTAGAGAATTATTTTTGGAAGTGTTATGGAGTTTAGAAGTTGGGCTGTGAATGGGGTCAGGTATGAGTGCAATAAAAACTATGGAGGAAGAAGAATTTTGCACAGTCCACATTTTAAAGCAAACTGACCTACTTTGCACGCTACAGACCAAAACCAATGCATACATATACTGTAATTATCTCTTGGATTTTGCACCTTTTCAAATTTTGTGCTATAGTTCTCAACTCATAAAATGTACCATTTAAAACAGATTAACAGTATTATTTCACAATTGCTTTAGGGTAAAATAAGTTTATAAATGCATGTGTTGAGATAAAATATTTATATATGATTTTTCATACTTCTTTTTTTTTAAAAAAAATGTAGTCTGATTTAACAGCATAATGGAATGGTCTTTTGAATGAAAGCATCCAAAATTGACACAGACTGTCCATCCTTAGTAAAGGCAGAGAAACTGTCCCAAATGTCTTGGACTATAATTCCCATCATCCCTAGCCTGTGTGGCCAATGTAGTCAGGGATGCTGCGAGTTGTAGATGAAAACATCTGGAGACTTAGAAAAGGCCGTATAACACTAATATGTATTCTCACCAACAGTACACTTGATGAGAAGTTGCCACCAACCCTAGCAGCCACATGAAAATCTTCTTAGTGTGTGTAGACATCACGTTTCTTAGATGTATACCTCATACTATAAAGTGTAAGTTACGAGTGTAAGTGTACACCAAATAAAGGCACCAACCTGGTGTCTTCCATATGTTTTGGGAGAGGGCTGATGTGGGATGTTTTGGACTACATCCCCCATCATCCCTGGTCCAAAATAACTTGAGGCACCAGGCTCGTGAAGGCTGGTCTACACACACTAAGAAGGCATGGACATGACTGCTGAAATGCTGTCAGTTCCAGCCTGTAACCTTGGTTGTGGACTGAGTTGGATGAATGGAGTCAATTCATAGGTTGGGTGACTCAGTCTATATTTCCACCTATTTGATCCTGTTTCCATGTTGATATGTGACTTGAGAAGGGAAAAAAACCTCACAGAAATTTAAATAAGTATTTAAATAGTATTTTAAAAATATTTCTCTCAAAACATGCATTTATAAAAGGTATTTTGATAGGGTTTTGAGCTGGCATGCTCAGAAAGTGAAGAAGCTTACAGATAACTAAGTTCTGGTCCATACTTTAATCAGGGTTTTGCAGATCAGGTCAGGCTGAACGGGGATTCGCAAAGATTAAATACTTGAAGCATCCTTACCAATTCATGTCTGCGGCTGAATGTAAACTGATGCCTTCAAAGTTTCTAGCCAGGTGCTAGTATAACCTGCCTGCAACAGTCATCATGTCTAATCTTTTCACTTGGAAACCTTTGATAAGTTTCTGAGAAATCCAATGGTCCCCAAGTGCACAGTTTGAAACCTTTGTAATAGAGGTTAGTGATATGAAAACTCATAGAACCCTTTTTTTAGTGTCTTTCTTGTAGTTCAGTTTTTACGGGAAGCTGTTGCACTGGATTTTATGAAATTGCAAAGAACAGCAGGCAGTGAGATGTGTACTGTACTTTGGTGTTCCAGCCAAGTGGCTTGGTGGCATTCAGAATTTGCTTTCTCTTCCCTAGGAATTTGTTCATTTGAGAGAGCTCTATCGAATAACAGCAGTCCTCTTGGGAGTAAAATTCATCTCAGTGCAGAGGGCTGGCGCAGATGTAATAAACCACTTACAGTAAATCCCAGCTAAGCCCTCTAAATAAGAAATAAGTTGAGCAGAAGTTGTTGTTGGGCCTCTGCTGTTGGCTGAATCTGATGTTAACTGCTCATTTTTCTTTATGCTATCTTGGCTGGAGACGCAGAGGCTGTGGGGAGATTGTGTTGGCTGCTTAAATCACAAATTGGTCTCTCTTCTCTCATTATTTGGTTTGCATAGGTTGATAAGGTAATAATATATCCTTGTTGAAATTTTGCTCAGAAAGAGAAGCTTCTCTAAAATAGCATTTGTAGAATTGCCACCAGTTTTCTGCCAAAAGAAAATTCAAGGCAGATTGACAAGGTGAGGTGAGGGATGGTTTTAATTTTCTTGGAAGGGCCACACAATCCTAAGTTGTGTCTGACTTTTTCCTAAAGCAAGATTCAAGGTGGATTTGCATGCTTTTAACGCAGGCAAAATGTCAGTGGGAATTTCAACCATAATTAAAGGAGTTTATCCATTAGCATCATTTCTTCAGAGGCAATCTCAATGTTCCCCAGACCAAAAAGTTGCTTTCTGAGGATTGTAGTGAACTAACTGGGCTATTCTTCACCATTTATCCCAACAGGCACACAAGTTAAGGGATTTACAACATTGCGGTTCCTGATTGAGCCTTCGGATGCTGTCACCATGCGAGGAAGTAACGTGTTGCTCAACTGCACGGCAGAATCGGATCAAGGGATTCCCATCATCAAATGGAAAAAGGATGGAGTCTTTTTAAACTTGGCAGTGGATGAGAGAAGGCAGCAGTTTCCCAATGGATCTCTTTTGATACAAAACATAGTCCATTCCAGACACCATAAACCTGATGAAGGCCTTTATCAATGTGAAGCATCATTAGAAGGTATTGGAGCTATCATCAGCAGGACAGCCAAAGTCTCTGTAGCAGGTAAGAGCTTTCTTTCTTTCTTTCTTTCTTTCTTTCTTTCTTTCTTTCTGGCATGGTGAGAGGATGTTCTCATGCTAACTCTACATGGATTAAGACTTGTTTTGTTTGTGCATTTTGGATTAATGCTTTTCCTAATCCTTGCCAGGACAGAAGCACATAGTGGACCTTAATCCGGGGCAGGCAGGAATTCAGACTGTTGTGGCCAAAAGAGAGAAATGCAGGGAGATGAGACAAATAATCAAGGATACCTCTATACAACAATAGGTCAGAGGAAATGAAGAGAAACAATAAAAACTTCTGTTTCTGGCTTGCTCTCTGGTCTGCAGACTTGGGGGACTGAACTGCTGCTGCTGCTGGCTACAGAGTGCCCCTTTCGCCTTGCCCCTCCCCCAACCAAAGAGCTGGATTTGACACTCGCAAAGATCAGTGTAAATGTGGAGTAAGGTATAGCCTAGAATTGAAGTATGTGGTGTGAGGGTGCGGTACAATCAGAGCACCAGTTCCTAGGGATGCATCTGGTGCAGAATGTGGCCACCAGACTTCTAACTGATGTGGACAGGATTATGCTCATCACACCAAATTTTAAAATAATTTCAATGGCTGCCTGTTCATTTTATGGATCCAGTGCTGAGTGCTGTTCCCTACCATTGGGGCCCTAAATGGCTTAGGACCCAAATATTAGCAGTAACGCTACTTCTCATTTCAGTGTACCAGTGATAAACTCTTCTAGAGTACAACAATGATGGAAATTTTGTTGTGTGCAATCAACTTTTAATTTTAAATAACTGTCAGGACAAAAGGGAAAATTTTTATCATTCCTTTTTTTTAAAAAAAATGTGGTATTCCTCCTCCACAGAAATGAAGTTAGACATGACATTACTGCCACAGTAATTTATTTCTGACAAGCTACTATTCATGCTTAAATATGTCTAATCAACCCTTTGTTGCTGTGTGATATTTGAAGCATGTTTATTATCTTCAAAAACAAGAAGCAGTCTTTGAAGCTAGAAATTAACTGCTTTCCAGATTAATTCAGGGTCAGAAAAAAACAAAATACCAAACTTCTGCAGAATGTGAAATGTACTTTTATTAGTATTCTTTTTTCCCTCCTACTTAGCTTTTCTAGAGTGACAGGAATTCATTAGAGAACTTACTGGATTCAGCAGCATTAGTTTCTGCCGCTCATTTTTGGGTGAAGTGCCTCTTGTACAGAGCTGACGCAAATTGGCCACTTCTGAAATCGCAAGATGATTTAGGGTGTTTAACAAATACTTGAATTCAGATTCATGACCCTCGTGAAGGTTGCCAAATCCAAGACTTTGCTACATTTGGATGCTAAAAAGAATCCCACCATTTGTACTTGGTAATCTGCTGTCTTGTACTTTAGAAGTGTCTTCCAGCTGTTATCTATATTAGCTTAACCAATCAATAGAACCTTGAATAGAACCTCCCAAATAATGAATGAAGACTGTGGGGAAGGAATTCCAATGTGAATGAAGATTTGCAGGGAAACCTCGTCCCACTGCTGGATTGGGGTACTAAATGAAAGTCTTTTAATCCCTCCCCTGCAAGAGTCTCTCTCCTTCTCTCCCTCCTTCTCTCTATATTCCTAGAAAAATAAAGCCAAGTTGCATAATTTCCCCACAATCAGTGGAGACTGCCCTCAGCCAGCCTCTACCTACAAACTTCTTCCTTGCAACCAGTCCAGGGTGGGGTGGCTTTTCCTGTCAGCTTCCTTCTCCTTTGTCTCAGTGTTGCCCTTGCAAAACTCTCAGCAGCCTTAACGAACTACAGTTCCCATAATTCTTTGCTGTTTGAAGTGGTATGATGCTGCTTAAATGCTGGGGCCTAATGCTCATCTAGGTAGTTTAGGAGGTTTAACAAACTGAAGGATGCTTTCCTCTTTCTGTGCTCCTCCCGATGGAAACATGGTGTCAGGGAACTGCCATCAGTGCCGGAGGGAGAGAGCAAAAGCCAGAGGGATTTCAGAGAGCGTCCAGGGATTGAGAGAAGCAGCCCATCTTCTGGGGAAGAGAATCAGCGTAGCACCAGTGGAGAAGGGGGGGGCCGCTGGGGGAGCGGCAAGGCGGTCCCATGACTCCTTGCCTGGGACCAGCAGGGAGAGTAGGGGTCCTCCGTTGCCCACGCCCTCCTTGCGCAGAAGGCTTTCGCGCAGAGAGAGTAGGAGGAGACTAGGCATCAAAGAGCTTCTTTGCTGGAAGAAGTTTAAGAAACACCCACTGATGGATTCTGCCAGCGATTGAGTCAGCCACGGGTGAGTGGCTGTCCGGACAGAAAAGGTTCACTTAGGCAACCCAGCCAGGTGTTTGCACCCAGCCGGGGAGATAAGCACCGGCTTACGCACGAGCAACCCCTAGAACCATTACACATGGAGATGGGGATAGATATACCCCTGCTTTAAGTTGTTTACATACTGTCTTCTCTTGTATATTATTTACTACAAATCTTGATGACTAAGCAGTTTAGCGACGAAACGTTGGATTACTGGAACGACGTCCAAACACTGAACCACTGGTATATCCAGTGCTTTTTTCTGGGGGGCTCAGGGGTACGCATACCCCTAAACATTTTGTGAATTTTTGTACTTTTGTCCATTGACTGTGTTTGGTTTTCCCAATTTGAACTATAAAATGGTGATTTCCTTGAGTCAAAATGAGAGTAATCCTGAACATTTTTTCAGGAAAAAAACAACACTGGGTATATCACAAGTGGACTCTTTATTACTGCATTTGCAATTGTTCAAGACAAAATCTAATTTGGAAAGAGAAGAAATGAGCACTGAACCACAAGTGAACTCTTTATTTACTGTGTTTGCTATTGTTTAAGATAAAACCTATTTGGGAAAGAAACTACCTTTCCCATTTTTATGGACGTTTAGTTACAGATAGTTGCCTTGGTGGTATTATCTTGTGTCGATTACAGTAGTCATTGTATCACCACTCTGGTCATTGTTTTCTTGTAGAACTCTCAGCAGGCTTAACAAACTACACTTCCCATAATTCTTTAGGGGGAGCTATGGCTGTTTGAAGTGGTATGATGCTGCTATAGTGGTATGATGCTGGAGCCTAATGCTCATCTAGATGGTTTATATATTGCCAATCCCTATTTGAACCAGAATCACAAACTTGAGGCTGTTCTGATCTTTCCAGTTTCGCATGGTTTCCTTCCTTCTCTTCCCCATACCCCTCTGAAACTTAGCATAAACTCCAGAATCACTTGCAATCCCACTTCCTCTCTCATTTCTACCTTGCCCCACTGCACAGTGTTGTGTGAAAGTCCCTGCAATCAACACTTGGGACAAATGGTCCATTAATACTGCTGGAAAGGCAGTGCTATTTATTAATTTGTATTACATTTGGCGCATCGCAACCCTCGTACTAGATGGCCATCCCTCACCTGTTAATGGAATCGTTCAAATGCTAGAAATTTGGAGCGCCTGCTTTTTGAGAGGGTTAAATGATTTTTAGTGTTCTGGGGAACACGTCGGAGGCTGCAAGGGAAAAATTTCTGCATTCAGCTGCAGAGAAACATTTTCCTCTGCATGAGAGATAAATATTGCTAGCTGAACTGGAAATGTGCTTGAGCTGACCCTCGTTAAAATATTGGCAGCATGTTCCTGTCTTAAGGCACAGGGCAGATGGAATATAAGAAAGGAGAGAGAGAGAGAAAGTGTAAGGGGAAAAAAAATAAAAAATGAAGGGCTGACCTGGTATCATGTTTATCTTGGCATCTGTAAGGCAAAGCAAAGCAAAAAGTATTACTGCCAGAGTAAGGTTGTTGCTTGGGATAAGTTCATGCAACTAATGAGGCATGAGAAAGATTTTTTTTTAAAAAATATCTATGGCACAGAGGAAGTTGGTGCAGAGAATGCTCCCTCCTGCCTGTCAAACTTGGGTTGATTTGGCAGTAGACTGAAGATAAATAAAATAAACCCTCAGTTTTACAGAAAGGCATAATTGCTGTCATGCCTCACATGCTGGCTTTAAGAGATCATCTGGCTGGCTATTAGTAAAAATAGGACGACAGACTAGAAGAAGCATTGGTCTAGTTTATCAGAGTTGCTCACATGTGCTTAACCAGGCAAGACGGCAGTCGCAACAAGTGACTGACAATTTTAACTCCCACTGAAAGTGGCTATGGAGGTATGAGAAGATATGTAACAGGCGACTGGGTGATTTTGCACAATGTATGATGATTACTTTTATTTTTACAAATATTATTACCGATTAAATTTCTACCCCACCTCTCTTCATAAAGGAACGCAGGGTAGCAAACCCCTTGAATGTGAAAATTGTAAAGTTAAAATAAATTAAAAATAAGAAGAATATCTAGAAACATTTAAGAACAATCACGTAGCTTCACAGCTAATAATATTGAGATTTCCAGGAACAGCATCTGCACAGTCCCCGCTCAATTCAGGCTGACCTGGGGAACACCTGACCGGACCTAAAATCAATTTTGGAGGCCGGGCTAATCTTTCCTTGGGGTTTTTAAATTGGTGGGGAGAGGATTCAATCCTGATCGGGTCTGCTGCTTTCCTAGCATGGGGAATTCAGTGGGGGTGTCTGCCTCTCTCTCCTGCCTGATACCCCTGCCTGATAATCTGGGGCTGTCTCCACCTGACTTGGCCAAATATTCAGTGTGGGATTTGGCCAAATCTGCTGTGCGGCCCTAACAGGGACGTTTATAAGTTCCTCCTGACAACAACAACAAATTTTGCAGCTAGCAGCCGTCTCTGCGCTCCCCAACCAGCTCATGCTAAAATAAAAAAAATCCAGTGTATGTAAATGCATCATTAAAAATCTGAAACATCCAAGCAGAAAAGTTTTAACCAGCTTGGGAGGGCTCCAGCCTGCCCAAATTCCCTTGGCTCACTTTCCCTTTTGAGAAAGAAGAATCCTGTGGCTTCTGATTGCACAACATGAGTTTCACAAGCGTTGCTGATTTGGCCTTCTCAGTTAAGTGAGCTGGCAAGTTTG